CGAGGGCAGAATTCGAGAGATAAGCAATACCGTAAGACGAAACAACATTAGAATAATTGGGATCCCAGAAGAAGAAGAAAGAGAGAGAGGGGCAGAAGGTATATTGGAGCAAATTATAGCAGAGAACTTCCTTAATTTGGGGAAGGAAACAGGCATCAAAATCCAGGAGGCACAGAGAACCCCTCTCAAAATCAATAAAAATAGGTCAACACCCCGACATCTAATAGTAAAACTTACGAGTCTCAGAGACAAAGAGAAAATCCTGAAAGCAGCTCAGGTTAAGATCTTCTCTTTATCTCCAGTATTTTTTCTTTTTAAAAATTTCATGATAATGTGCCTTGGTGTGGGTTTGTCTTCATTTACTGTGCTTGGCACTTGGTGCCTGCTTGCTTGCCTTCCTGCTTCTTTCCTTCCCTCTCTCTCTTTTTCTCTTCTCTTTTCTTTCTTTTCTTCCTTTTCTTTCTTTATTTGAGACAGAGTGAGTGAGAGGGAGAGAGAATCTGAAGCCGATTCTGCACTGAGCACAGAGTCCGACTTGGGGCTCGATCCCACAACCGCAAGATCATGAACTGAGCCAAAACCAAGAGTTGGACGTTCAACTGACTGAGCCACCCAGTTGCCCCTCGGTGGCTTCTTTCAATTTGGAAATTCAAATACTTCAGTTCTATAGGCTTCCTTTAATTTTTTTATTTATTCTTCTCTACCTTTTCTTTCTTGAATTTCTGTTTGTTTTTTTGGTTATTATTTTGCCTCCTTCTCTTTGTTCATTTGCCCTCTTTTCTGGAAGATTTCTTTAGCTTTATTTTCTAGCTTTACTTTCTAATCCTTCTGTTGTCATGTTTTTAAGTACCCATTATGATCAGTTTCCTTTTTCCTTTTTTCCTGTTTTTGTTTCATGGATTTAATATCTTTTATCTTTTTGTGAATGTTAATAGTTTCTTTTAAAAAAATTCATATGTATAATTGCTGTTTTCTCTGTTGGTTTTGGTTTCTGTCTGCATTTTAAAGATAGAGCTTAGCTATCTGATCTTGGATATATCTACAGATGGTTTCTGACTTAAAATGGTTTGACTTAGGAGTTTTCAACTTTATGATGGTGCAAAAGTGATACACATTCAGTAGAAACTGTACTTCAGATTTTGAATTTTAATCTTTCCCCTGGATAGTGATATGTAGTATGATCCTCACTTGTGATATTGGGCAGTGGCAGTGAGCTGTAGCCCCCAGTCAGCTATGCAGTCAGGAGGGTGAACAACCGATACACTTGCAACCTGTTTGTATCTATAGTACCATTCTGTTTTTCACTTTTTGTACAGTATTTAATAAATTACATGAGATATTCAACACTTTATTATAAAATAGGCTTTGTTAGATGATGTTGCCCAGCTATAGGCTAATGTAAGTGTTCCGAGCACGTTTAAGGTAGCTAAGACTAAGCTATGATGTTCCGTAGGTAACGTTATTAAATACATTTTCAACTTATGATGGGGTTATTGGGCCCTATGGTAAGTTGAGGAAGATCTGTATATGTATTAGATATATATCCTGCTCATATTTAAGAGTGCAGCACCAAAAAGCTGATAGGGAATTGTGAGCTTGCTTATTGTGAGTTTCTCTGTGGGGTTATCTGCTTGCCATTTTTGATAGTAAACTCCTAATGCCAGACTCCTTAGATCTTTTGTCTTGATCTTGTTGGATATTCAGAGAAAAATCTTCAGGTTCCTACCTGTAGGGTATAAGTCTGTTTGGCAAGAAGATGTTTAGGTAGAGATCTCAACATTTGGGATATAGACTCTCTCTTAATTTCCCTATTTTCAGAATGGTGACTCTGCTCTCAACTGTGCCGGGTGTAGAAAAACCCTCTATTCTTCAGCTAGAGTAGGGATACACCAACCTGGATTACATAGATGGGAAGGGGATTTCAATGGATTTCCCCGCCCTTATCAGAGGGTACCTGGTGCAACACTTCCTTAGCCTTTTAGGAGTTTTATTATGAATTGGGCTGCTGCTTGGCTTTCCCCCTGGTGGACTCAGGATGCAGTTTTTAGGAGTCTCCTTATTGCTTATCTTTCTGCTTTTTTTAGCCTTTACAGTTTTGTTGTTGTTATCTCTTCCTCCTTTCTCCTTTGCCTTGTGAACTACGCGTATGGAGAATTCTCTTTACTCTTGCTTTTTACATGGATTTTGGGAGGGTGTGAAGATGAATGTTTGTGCGTTCTATCTGCATCTTGAACCTGAACCCTATTTCCTTCAGTAACACTTTGTTTCTACTCACCTGTGCTTGAAACATGAGAAGAGTCTGACATTAGGAGTTTTCCATCATAAATGTCTTTTCATTTAAAATGTAATTTAATACATTTGAATTTTAATACATTTAATAAATGTATTATAAATGTGTTTTTTGATTATTTATTAAATACTTACTATGTGCCAGACACTGGCATTTGGGTTTTAAATACTAAAACAAAACAAAACACCAAACAATTAATTCCTGGCCTGAAGTTGTTCAGAATCCAGTTGGAGAGAGAGGCTATGGACATGGTAAAAGGGTGCTCTTAGAACAGGTGAGGGCTGTGTCCAGGATGTGTTCAGGCAGGCACCTGATGCTGCACCCAAACTGCAGCCTCTTCTCCCTTTTTATTGTCTTTGCTTTCTCCTTTTGTACTTTAGCTTATGCCGACCTTTTAGCCTAGAATCTAGGCTATAGGGTGTTCCCTTTGTCTTTCTAGTGTTGAAATTCTGTTGTCCTAAGTTGGTGTACAGTAGGCTCTTATCCAACCTCATTTTGCTGTGGGCTTGAGAGAACAGTTTTTGCAGAGGTGGACACCATGAAGATCAGCCCTCTCATATGACACATCTGATGTACCTTGTCTTAGGGTCACTTATGGCTTGTCTTACCTCCTTTATTGACCTGTAAACTCTTTGAGAGAGCTATCTATACCTGATTTATTTATATAGTCTCAAAGTGACTAGTATAGTTGTTAATGTGTTCAAGATGATAAACCTTTGCTGTGCCCCTTCAAATCAGATTAAGACTTCTCCAAACTCAAAAGAAAAAAATGTTAAAAAGTCTTCAGGGACAGGATTTTGACTTCATGTGTGAGTAGCAAAATGTGGTTGTAGAGCACAGAGCACTGGCAGCAGGGGGGAGACAGTAGTGCACTCTTGGTGAGAACTGCCATTTTTGTGGCGGCTTTCCCACAGTGCTGTTAAGCCAGTATCATTAGCTGGTTCGTGCTGATACACTGAAAGGTAGTAAGCAGAGGTCCTGCAAAATGAGGTTGGATAACAGCATTTCAAGGTCAAAGTCTTCTAAAGCTTTTGCCTTCTGAGAGGATGAAGAACTGTAAAATTATTTCCTGCCCCAAATGGCTCTGTAATCTTCTAAGCATTTTGCAGGGTATCATGTTGATCAGCATGTTTTTCAGGCCCTGTTGATAAACCATTTCAAAATGTGAGTTTTATTTAAAAATTGCCATTTAAACACACAAGGGCCAGGGTGCCCATGGGCCTTGATACAGTGTAGTGACTTACTCAAAATCAAATGTTGTATTTACTTGGTCCCTTGATACATGGAATTTCATCACTCATTGGATAGGAGCTGAAGTCAGGTCCAGATGCAGAAATGTAGTTTAGACAGATGTAATGAAATTGGGTTGTGTTAGTTTTTTTTTTTTTTTTCTTTCTTAAATCTAGACAGTGGTTTCTTTGTTTTTTATATTAAGAGAGAAACAGTATGATTTTTCATGTTTAGTTGATGTGACTGAAGCTTCTGGCATTTATATGTAGGGTTTTTTCCCTCTCTCTTTAAGTATCAAGAAAGGCTGTTTTAGTATCTGATATCTCTTGCTTCATCCAGTTTTGTTGCAAGGGGAAAGGTTTTGGTATTGGCTGTATTCCTTAGTGTATGTAATATGTCTCTAAACTTGAGAGAGATTTAAAAATTTGCCTGGTTGGGCGCCTGGGTGGCTCAGTTGTTAAGCATCTGCCTTCGGCTCAGGTCATGATCCCAGGGTCCTGGGATCGAGTCCCACATCAGGCTTCCTGCTCTGCGGGAAGCCTGCTTCTTCCTCTCCCACTCCCCCTGCTTGTGTTCCTGCTCTCGCTATGTCTCTGTCTGTCAAATAAATAAATAAAATCTTTAAAAAAAAAAAAATGTGCCTGGTCAGAAATCTGGTTTTACGTTGGAACTGTGCTTTGGAAGCTGAGTTAAAACCTAAGAAGCAGCTTTTTTTTTCCTTTCCTTTTCTCTTTCTTTCTTTTTCTTTCTTTTTTTTTTGTCCATGTCGTTGGCCAACCCTTGGTCTGAGCATGGCAGCCATTATCACTCTTTGAAGCTGGGATGCTGCTCAAGGCCCAGGGGAGTGAAGATGGGTCTTCTTGAAGGCCTGTTTCTTTTGTGCTGTTCGGGTGGCTCTCCTAGTAAGTGAGGTTTAGAGTCTTTTGTATCCCATTCCTCAGGATCCAGTTGTTTTAGAGCTCTGTCTGGCCCCACCAAACACACAAGGTGTCTTGCTTCCTTTCAGTATATTCTTTGTTTTCTATTTTCAGAGACTTCCTTATGTCCCTGGATGCTCTGCTGTGTTTAACTCGGCTTAGCCTGGGCCCTGTGTGTTGTCCGGGCTGTGCATATAGTAGATGGGAACTTCATGCCTGGCACGGCAGAGGGCAGCAGATGCAAGTTGTGAGCCTTCTCACCTTTCTTCTAGTCTCATCTTACTGTCAACACCTAATCTTTAGCATACTCCACACCATGCAAGGAGTTTTTAACATTTTATTTAGTTTCACATTCTGCATTTTGCATTTCAGGCAGTGCTTCTAGTTTTTTTTTTTTCTCTTTAGGAAGGTGCTGAATGAAGCTGGAGTACTTAATTTTTAAAGTCATGCATAAGTGAAAACAGTTCATTAGAAAAAGTGAATATTTGCATTTAATCCAGGTGGAATTCTAGAGGTGTGATTTGAGATTAAAACAAACATTTTTAAAATTTTTCAATCTGAAGCTTTGGGATGTGAAATCAGCAAACGAGAGGAAAAGCATTAATGTGAAGCAGTTCTTCCTAAATTCAGAGGAGCCTCAAGAGGATATGGAAGTGATCGTGAAATGCTGTTCATGGTCTGCTGATGGTGCTAGGATAATGGTGGCAGCAAAAAATAAAATCTTTGTAAGTATCAGTATTTTAACAAGCCAAAATTAGCCTGATTTAAAGAAAATGAAAATGTCAACTGATTTTGCATTGTAAAATTGATATAATTTTATTGTTTATTGATATAATGAAAGTATAGCTGTGTGATTTGGGCCAGACTCCCTAACTTCATAGTTCTCAGAACTGTGTTCCAGGGATGGCAATAGGCTTTGTGAGGAAAAGTCTCTGTGGTCACGTAGGTTTGGGAAATGTTATGTATTGCTTTCCCCCATTAGAGTTACTCAGTGTATACTAACATACTTAAGGCCTCCAGAAGTTCTGTAATACAGAAATAATTTATGTTGGTTAATCCGGTGTTTCTCAGATTTATTGAAAACATGGACTATTTTCTACATCGCTTTTTTTTTTTACAATTTTGAATACATTGGTTTAGATGATTTTCAAAGTGCTTTCTTACCCCTGAAATTTATTAGGATTTTGTGACTGTGATAGAAATATTTGTCAACAACTGGAGACTATTGTAAGAATTCTGTAGGAAGACAATATGTAAAAATAGTGAATGACAAAAAAATGCTTTCCTTTTTTTTTCAAATCTAATAATAGCTTATATTTGTAGTATTCAGAGTGCTCTCACATATTATTTCTTTTAATATAACTATCCAAGGGACACAGCAGATTGCAATAGCCCTCTGCTAATAATGAGGCAACTGAGGTTCAGAGCAGCCAAATAATTTGTCCCACATTATAACATGGATTTGGAAAGGTAGGTATTCTATGACTCGGTGACATTCCATTCAAATAGTAATTTTAAAAGACTTGAATAAGAGATATTACAGTTTTATTTTCAGCTTTATTGAGGTACAGTTGACAAAATTGTTTAAGATGTTTAAAGTATACAACGTGATGAATTAATATTTGTATGCATTGTGAAAGCATTCCCCCCATATGGAGTTAAATAACACATTTGTCACCTCACGTACTTATCTTTTTTGTGAGAATATTTAATTTGTACTCTCTTAATTTCACTTATACAATACAGTATTATCAACTATAGTCACCATGTTATATGTTAGATCCTCAGACCTCATTCACCTTCTAACTGAAAGTTCGTATCTTTTTACCAACCTCTTCCTATTCTCCACACCCAAAATAGTACAATTTTATTTATTTTATTTATTTATTTTTTACTGTGAATGTTTATTTATTTATTTATTTAAGATATTATTTATTTGACAGAGAGAGAGAGACAGCCAGAGAGGGGACACAAGCAGGGGGAGTGGGAGAGGGAGAAGCAGTCTTCCCCCAGAGCAGGGAGCCTGACCTGGGGCTCCATCCCAGGATCCTGGGATCATGACCTGAGCTGAAGGCAGACGCTTAATGACTGAGCCACCCAGGCACGCCATGAATGTTTTATTTAATCATTTTTGTTTACAACTGAAACTCTGGGAACTCAAAGTTAGCATCCTTGCCTGTGAGCTTCTTATGGGCACCAGAGAAGTTTCATCCTTATGCTCCATGTTGTTCTGCTATGCTTTACCCAAGTGAACTTTTATGAGTCAGCTGCCATCCAGTTTCACATGGATTCTCTTGCCCACAATTTTGCTTGGGAAAACCAAGTCCTCCAGGATTGCGTCATGCAATGGGTTGTCAAAGTGTGGCTCCTGGGGCACTTTTACTTATTTTTTGTATGGCTTTTTCGAGTTGGCTTAGGTAGAATTCTCCTCTGAGCTGTAAAGACAATGGGCTTCCCACTCAACTTTTTCTCCAATTCTTGGACTAGCCAGACTTGGATTTCCTGAAAAATTTCAGTTGAGAAATAGGAACAAAGATGATAATAGCTCTCTGACCACCACCCACTTCAGTTTCCTTGGTTGCTGTTATATTCAGCACCCATAGCTGGGCTTTGAGGTCTGAGTTCATCTCCAGCTCAAGGAGAGCCTGGGAGATGCCGGATTCAAACTCATCCGGCTTCTTGCCATTGGGCTTCATTGTCTTTGTGCTTGAACTGAACATGGCCTTCTCCTTGGTGAGAGCACTGGCCTAGGAAGAGGCCTGAGTCTCTTGAGAGCTCTTTAAATCCCCTGAGATCGTGTGTGTGTGTGTGTGTGTGTGTGTGTATTTTTTTTCTTTTAAAGTAGGTTCCATGCCTAGCATAGAGCATGGTGCCCAATGCACGGCTTGAACTCACGACCCTGAGTTTACGACTCGAGCTGAGATGAAGTTGTCCGCTTAACCGACTGGGCCACCCGATAGTACAATTTTAAAGACTGAATTATACCATATAGTTATATAAAACTCACTGAGGAGCCGTTTATATTGTTATTGATCTAGTTGCTGTGACCCTTTGATCTTGGGTGCTTATGGGTTTATACCTTTAGCATGAAATTAAAAATATCTCCTTTTGTCTTAAATTTGTTAAAATTTGTAGGAACAGAAAAGGAATCATTGAATTTGTAAGATTTGAAGAATAAATTTTTTCTGTTGTAAAATATATCTATGTAAAATTTGCCATTTTAACTATTCTTTTTAAAGATAAGGACTCTTTTATTTTAAGATATTATTTATTTATTTGTCAGAGAGAGAGCGCAAGCAGGGAGAGCAGCACGTAGAGCAGGCAGAGGGAGAAGCAGGCTCCCCGCTGAGCAAGGAGCCCGATATGGGACTCAATCCCAGGACCCTAGGATCATGACCTGAGCCGAAGGCAGATGCTTGACTGACTAAGCCACCCAGGAGTCCCATCATTTTAACTATTTTGAAATGTATAATTCAGTGATGTTAATGATATTCGTAATGCTGTGCAGCTATCACCGCTATTTGCAAAACTTTTCATCACCCCACAGAGAAACTCTGTAACCAGAAACTAATAACTACCCATTCCTCTCTGCCTCTAGCCCTTGGTAATCTTTATTTTTTAATTATTTCTTTATTTATTAAACAAAAAAAGATTATTTGAGAGAGAGAACATGAGCAGGGTTGGGAAGGGGCAGAGGGAGAGGGAGAAGCAGACTCTGCTGAGCAGGGAGCTAGAGGTGGGACTCGATCCCCAAGACCCTGAGATCATGACCTGAGCCACCAGGCGCTGCTCCCCCCCAATAACCTTTAATCTATGAATTTGTCTATTCTAGATATTTCATATATGTGGAATCATATAATATTGGTCCTTTTGTATCTGGCTCATTTCATTTAGCCTAATATTTTCAAGGTTCATCCATGTTGTAGCATGTACAAAACTTCATTCCTTTTTATGGCCGAATAATATTCCATTATATGGATATAACACTTTTTTTTATGCATTCATCTGTTGATGGACACTTGGGTGTTTTCACCTTTTGGCTGCTGTGAATAATGATATAGTGATCATGGTGTATAGGAATCTGTTTGAGTTCCTGCTTTCAGATCTTCTGTGTACACACCAAGTGGTAGAATTGTTGGGTCGTATGGTAATTCTAAATTTAGCTTTTTTGAGGAACCACCAAACCATCTGTACCATTTTATTTTATTTTATTTTTTAAATTATGTGATGTTAATCACCATAAATTACATCATTGGTTTTTGATGTAGTGTTCCATGATTCATTGTTTGTGTATGACACACAGTGCTCCATTCAACACGTGCCCTCTTTAATACCCATCACCAGGCTAACCCATCCTCCCACCCCTCCCCTCTAGAACCCTCAGTTTGTTTTTCAGAGTCCGCCGTCTCTCATGGTTCATCTCCCCCTCCGATTTCCCCCCCTTCATTCTTCCCCATCTGCTATCTTCTTTTTCTTTTTTTTTTTAACATGTAATGTATTACTTGTTTCAGAGGTACAGATCTGTGATTCAACAGTCATGCACAATTCACAGCGCTCACCATAGCGCATACCCTCCCCAATGTCTATCACCCAGCCACCTCATCCCTCCCACCCCCCACCACTCCAGCAACCCTCAGTTTGTTTCCTGAGATTAAGAATCCTCATATCAGTGAGGTCATATGATACATGTCTTTCTCTGATTGACTTATTTCACTCAGCGTAACACCTTCCAGTTCTGTCCACGTTGTTGCAAATGGCAAGATCTCATTCCTTTTGATGGCTGCATAATATTCCATTGTATATATATACCACATCTTCTTTATCCATTCATCTGTTGATGGACATCTTGGCTCTTTCCACAGTTTGGCTATTGTGGACATTGCTGCTATAAACATTGGGGTGCACGTACCCCTTTGGATCCCTACATTTGTATCTTGGGGGTAAATACTCAGTAGTGCAATTGCTGGATCGTATGGTAGCTCTATTTTCAACTTTTTGAGGAACCTGCATACTGTTTTCCAGAGTGGCTGCACCAGCTTGCATTCCCACCAACAGTGTAGGAGGGTTCCGCTTTCTCTGCATCCCCACCAACATCTCTCATTTCCTGACTTGTTAATTTTAGCCATTCTGACTGGTGTGAGGTGATATCTCATTGAAGTTTTGATTTGGATTTCCCTGATACCGAGTGATGCTGAGCACTTTTTCATGTGTCTGTTCCATTTGGATGTCTTCTTTGGAAAAATGTCTGTTCATGTCTTCTGCCCATTTCTTGATTGGATCATTTGTTCTTTGGGTGTTGAGTTTAAGAAGTTCTTTATAGCTTTTGGATACTAGCCCTTTATCTGAGATGTCATTTGCAAATATCTTCTCCCATTCTGTCAGTTGTCTTTTGGTTTTGTTGACTGTTTCTTTTGCTGTGCAAAAGCTTTTTATCTTGATAAGGTCCCAAGAGTTCATTTTTGCCCTTGCTTCCCTTGCCTTTGGCGACGTTTCTAGGAAGAAGTCGCTGTGGCTGAGGTCGAAGAGGTTGCTGCCTGTGTTCTCCTCTAGGATTTTGATGGACTCCTGTCTCACATTTAGGTCTTTCAGCCATTTGGAGTCTATTTTTGTGTGTGGTGTAAGGAAATGGTCCAGTTTCATTCTTCTGCATGTGGCTGTCCAATTTTCCCAACACCATTTGTTGAAGAGACTGTGTTTTTTCCATTGGACATTCTTTCCTGCTTTG